CCATCACAAATAATACATACCAAACTACGTCATTATAAAAGTCAACTAAACGCTCACAAATTCTTAATGCACATATCCGACAATCCATCCTGTTCATGCGGCCACACCTTTGAAAATTCTGAACACTTTCTTCTCTACTGTCGCAACTTTTCAAAACAACGAAACAATACAATTAATCTTCTCCCTATTCATTTACGTTGCATATTAACACTTCTTAACGGCAATCCCAAATTATCTTTAGAAACAAATCTGTATATCTTTCAAACTGTTCATAACTTTATATCATCTACAAAACGTTTTGACACCTAGCTAACGCTGTCGAAGTATGGCCTCCGTTTTAAAACGAAGATTATTTTATTTTGATTAACGATAAACACCCTCATCCCCTCTCAACTATTTTCATTTGTCATTATCAATAACATTTTATTCACCAATGAATTTGTTCGGCCCTATTCCCTTTCCTTTTGTAAATATGTTTGTCACTTCCTGTTTTGTTTCCAATTTACATTTCGCTGCTGTCAACTCCTACATTATGTAAGTTATACTTTTATCATCTGTAAATATTCGTATTGGTAACAGATTTATATAAGCTTCGGCTTGTTTCTGAAACCAACATTAATCTATAGCATATGTATGATTTTGTAAATTATCAATAAATATTGTTTAAACAATTATGTTGTTGGATTTTCTAAATAACAAAAACATACATTTTCTATACTTATCATATTGGGTTTTACCTGAAACCCATTATATTCTAGTATGTTTCATTTAGTGTTAAATATGTAGTAATATACACTCTAGTAAATTATGGGGAGCCGCGGTGGCTCAGTGAGTTTTATAATCTGCAAAATAACTTAAGTTTAGAATATAAGAAAGCTGCTATTAATCACTGTAATTATGATATTATATTAGATTTAGAACAACAGTTAAGTGACTATGAAAATAAAGTATGTCAAGGTTGTTGCAAAATGCATTAGGAATGACAATAAGTGTCAAACTTATTAATTAACATTCCAGCCACTTGAAATTAAATGTCCATTGTCATTGTTTAGACAGCTCCTAGATCAAAGGGATTCATATTAAGTAATATTTCACAGCCTTGAGCAACTTTTGTCTTTGACAACAATAACTCTTTGTCCAGATATAACTCATTAATTAAGTTACTAGTAATTGTTATAAAAGATTATACATTATGTCAATAATGTCACATGGTCAGTCCTTTGGCCAAATAAGTCTTATCATCCA